TCGGGTTGAATCGTGCTTTTGCTGGTAGAGGAAAGGGATGAGCACGACACTAATGTAGAGGATGGCGATGCTGGTCGGTGAGCAGTTGAGTCTTGATTCAATGGCGCGCGGAGTCGACTGAACTGTGAAGGGTATCGGAATGGATGGATGGGAATGATTGTTGCGGCGGATTGAAGATCAATTGCTCGGCAGGCCTTATCAATAAGGGTTGTTTGGCTAGTTTGCATCTGGGGCGGAGAACGGATGGTTTGTTGGTTTGTTGGTGAGTGACTCCGATAGGCACTTCAGTTACGCCATCCCTCACTTCCTTCATCCCTCTTCCCACTTTCACTTCCTGGCTCACGGCTTTTAAGTGCCAATTTACCTTGGTCGTATCTGAACAGTGTCAATATTCCACAGATCTGCTGCTGCATCGCTGCTCTGCTGGGCAAGTCGTTTGTACAAGCTGACACCGAACTTGGCTCTTGCATCTCACAGCACCCAAGATGGATCATTCAATGCACCATATGGGGATGGATATGGATCATGGCCATGACCACGGTGACATGGACATGGGACAGTGCAGTATGAATGTAAGCTCGAAGATCACTTTTCTTCTTCTGATGTTCCACCATTTAAGAATCACCCGGCGATATAATTGCTTTTCTCCGCCCTGCCCTAAAACAACCCTGCTAACGCTCCCTAGATGCTTTTCAGCTGGTCTACAAAGAATCTTTGCATCGTCTTCCCGCAATGGCGTGTCACTGGCACCTTGTCTCTACTCATCTCACTTCTACTCATCGTGCTTTTGACCGCCGGCTATGAGGGCGTCCGTCAGCTTACAAGACGCTTCGAGGTGGCACATGCGAAGAGGCTCAGCGCATACACAACCGCCGCAGTCGGAGGTAAGTCTAATCTTTCGTTGCTTCTGCTATGCTGGCGGCGGAGGGGAACGGCATCCGGGATATCTTGTCGTCTCGTTTATAGTCATGGGTTGTATGCATGCCTTTGCTGAGATGACGCGCCTGACAAATCGCTTGTTGAGTTGAAGGCAGCGAAGTCCACGACGATTTACTGCCGGCCAATGACCCTCCCAGCCAGACACTGCCTGTCCCAAACGGTGGCTCACAGCTCGTTGTAGGTAGGGATAGCCGAAAGTCCGTCGAGCAGCGAGGAAAGATTACCATGGCGTCATTGTATGCTGTGCAGGTCTTCTATAGCTTTTTCATTATGTATGCTCCCTGACTACCCTCCTATCGACATGGACTGATCTGAGCTGCATAGGTTGCTTTTCATGACCTATAATGGCTTTGTTATGCTAGCTGTCGCTGTCGGTGCCTTTGTAGGATATCTGGTTTTCGGAGACGACACCTCCGCTAGCAAGACGGTTGCGTGTCACTAGATGGGGTGCGCAAGCTGGGTAGCTTGGTTTCCGAAAGGCTCTCTCAAGGTTGATTGAGGGAAGGGTGTCACTGGGCTGCGTAATCCAGGCAATGGTGGCTCAGCATGGTCATTTTCAGACTGTTGCCGATTTCGTTTGTTGCTGCTTCGTATAGGAGGGAATCAAGGGACCTCGATGTCGCTATCATCACCACCGAAGCCAAAGCTGAACCCACCACCTTCGTTGGCGTTAACCCCTTCTTGATCTGCGTTTCCATGAACAATCTCATCCCATTTTCTCTTTTTGCCTTCTGTCTTCTTCCTCAACTCCTCCTGTGCTTGCTTCAGCAGGTCTGGATGCTGTTCTTGCATTTTCGCCAAGAAACTTTCGTAGGGATTCTGTACGTCCTTCCTGAATCCGGAAACCTGATCTGCCTTGTTAGACAGAAAATCAAGGGCAGCGCTCAGGTGCGCGCGGGGAATGAAGTTTTGCGTGATAGCAATAGATGGCTCAATATTCACGACCAAATGCCACCATCCCGAAGGCACATGAAGGATCTCTCCCTCCTTGCAAATGCCCTCAACGCAACCTGGTGTGCGCCGGGCCTCTGCGTGGAATCCAAACAACCACTCGGCAATACTGAGGGGAGAGGTCACCTCACTCTGATCCTCGGACACGAAGACTCCCGGCGGAGGCGGGAGCTTGGACGACGAAGGGAACATGATCCAGTACTTGGAGCCGCGAATTACCGCGTTCCACGCGCTGGTGGCATTTGGGTCTTTGTGGAAAGTACTTCCAGACCGTTCGGGTCCGACAATCAACCACTGTCGGTCGGGCCGATCATTGCCCAGCACGGAGAAGAAGTCCTCGCCAAAACAGGCAAGCGGCCAATAGGCGGCCTCGGGTTCCTGATCGAGCTGTCCGACCTTAAGTCCCATCTTTGACACAAAGGCCCGGTCGAAGAGATACAGCGGGCTCTCGTCGGAGTTGTTCTTCATATACTCGACGTAGCTGTAGAATGGCCAATCCACGGCCTCTGCGCGAAAGACGGTCTCGCCGTAGTCGTAGAGCAAGGAATCCATGGTCCATTTCTTGTAGACGGGCCATTCCTTGACGGGCTCGGTCAGGACGAACGGCGTATCGGACCATTTCTCGTTGAATTCTTCGAAAGAGAGATCGGGCAAACGGGCGATCTGGTTGCGGGCGGGGATGCCGGTGACGTAGGGATCGAGACTGATATGTGCGCAGTGAAAGGGCCGGTGCAGGACATCGGAATACAGATTCGAACAATCCAACACGCACACTTCCGTGGGTGGGATGTTCAGGTAGCTGGAGCGCCATGTTCCTTTCCAGGTGAATTTGGAGGGAGGTGATCTGGCGTTGCATGTCAGTGCTAAGCTTGCGGGACACTGCTGAAGGGGTCATGTCCTGCGAGGCAAATCGTCGTTGACGATGCAACCTATTGCAGTGTGGTATCCACAACGTACGCGACAAACAGAGCCTTCCACAGCTCTTCAGCTCGGGTGAAAGCATAGAATGCTTTGCAAGTGCGTCCAATGCGCACCAGACTGGGTCCATCGAGTTGTTCCAGCAGCATCAGTATTAGCTCATCTGGCAGAATGTTGAAGACCCCAATGGCATCCCGAAGGTTCTCCGTCGCAAGCAGGGCATTGCCGCTAGGCTTGACTCCCAATGGATGGCCGGGGATTGCATCGTGGGCAGCCTCGTCCTCCGCTTCAGGATTGGAAATGGAAGTCGGATAGGCACGTGTCAGCGTCTCCTGGTCCAGGTCGCGGACGCCGTCAATTGAATTGATGTCCGGCATTTTCATACTTGCGGCGTTTGAGAGGGAAAGAATCACTAACTAAAGTAGAACTAAAAAGTGACAACGCTGGAAATCTGGAGACTTTCCCAATTCGGCGGAGGGGTCGCCGAGAGGCGGTACGGCGCTAGTAAAATTTAGTAACACCCACATTGAGCCCGCTGAGGAGGGGAAGGAATAATAATCAGGCAAGATAATGCCCAACCATGCACCGTACCGAGGAATACCCGTTCACCAACGGGAAAAAGGTAATAGAGAGTAGGACACAAGCAATTCCATTACAGTGGCAATACAGTGACCTAGGCCCTCTACTCATAGAACGACCCCCAAGTGAACTTGGGAGAGTGTTGTGGTTGGACGTAATGAGTGGTCAAGATCAACTAAAACGCGTACGGCAGAATACAGGGGCGAGGAAAAAACGTGGGTTAACTGCCATAGACGGTAGGCGGTCAGGTTCGGCTGCACTAAACCAACGCTAAAAGTCAAGAAAAAATCAAACAGCGTCAGAACAAACAGAGCCAGCCAGAGCAGGGAAGAATGAAGGGAAAAAAAAAAAAAAAAAAAAGAGGAGTGAAAAAAAAAGTTCGCTCGTTCCGCCGCCGGTTTTCCCTGCCCCATTTTCCCACACCAGGCGTTGGCCTTCCACCTTGATCTTTCTTCTCTTCCTTCTTCTTCCCAACCCCTACGACTCTAGTAGTCTTGTGATATTTTTTTCCAACTTCAAAAGTTGTGATCTCGGTAGGTCTCCATCTCTCCATCTCATTGCTACCTTTTCTTATCTTTGCGCCTACCCCTCATCGTCTACCTCTGCATTCCTCGCTAACAGGCATCTTTTTTTTCAAGTTTTATTTCCCAAACCCCACCGTCTTTTCGATCACAGCACATCGCTTGTGATCACTTCCTTACAACAACACCGCAATCATGGCTTCTAACGACAAGGGTTTGGAGGAGATCCCCGAGGGTACGTTCTTTTCGACTACTTTCAGCTGCGAATGTTCTTGTTATCTTTAAGAGAGATGTATGCCTGGGTGGCAGGGTTGTTTCGGTCACCCCGCTAGAGGCTTCGGCTAGAACGATGGAAAATTTCTTGCAATTACGGGCACGGCCATGCGAAGACGCTGTAACAGATGAACTAACGAGAGACTTCGACGACAACAGGACAGATCGAGTCTAACTACGATGAGATCACCGACTCCTTCGACTCCATGGACCTCAAGCCCGAGCTCCTTCGCGGTATGTGATACAAATTCTGATCCGCTCCGGTGGGGTCAGTGCGGGCACCAGACTGACGACAATCAGGTATCTACGCTTACGGTTTCGAGCGTCCCTCTGCTATCCAGCAGCGTGCCATCATCCCCATCATCAAGGGTATGCTTGAAACGACTTTCCAATCATCGCCTACCGCATATTTGGATACTAATCGTCTTTCCAGGTAACGATGTCATTGCTCAGGCCCAGTCCGGTACTGGAAAGACTGCCACTTTCTCCATCTCCGCTCTCCAGAAGATCGACCACAACCTCAAGGCCTGCCAGGCCCTGATTGTCGCTCCCACCCGTGAGTTGGCTCAGCAGATCCAGAAGGTCGTCATCGCCATCGGTGACTTCATGAACATTGAGTGCCACGCCTGTATTGGTGGTACCAACGTCCGTGACGACATGACCGCTCTCCGCAACGGCCCCCAGGTCGTTGTCGGTACCCCCGGTCGTATCCACGATATGATCCAGCGCCACGTCCTCAAGACCGACCAGATGAAGCTGTTCATCCTCGACGAGGCCGATGAGATGCTTTCTGTAAGTCCACTTGGTCGCGATGATTGACTGGCGATGCTAACGGCATCATTAGCGTGGTTTCACCGAGCAGATCTACGACATCTTCCAGCTCCTTCCCCAGTCCACCCAGGTCACCCTGCTCTCTGCCACCATGCCCCAGGATGTCCTTGAGGTCACCACCAAGTTCATGCGTGACCCCGTCCGTATCCTGGTCAAGAAGCAGGAACTTACCCTCGAAGGTATCAAGCAGTTCTACATTGCCGTTGAGAAGGAGGAGTGGAAGCTCGACACCCTCTCCGACTTGTACGAGACTGTCACCATCACCCAGGCCGTCATCTTCTGCAACACCCGCCGCAAGGTCGACTGGCTCACCGACAAGCTCACTGCCCGTGACTTCACTGTCTCCGCCATGCACGGTGACATGGAGCAGGGCCAGCGTGATGTTATCATGAAGGAGTTCCGTTCCGGATCTTCCCGTGTCCTGATCGCCACTGACCTTCTGGCCCGTGGTATCGATGTCCAGCAGGTTTCCCTGGTCATCAACTACGATCTCCCCGCCAACCGTGAGAACTACATCCACCGTATCGGTCGTGGTGGTCGTTTCGGTCGTAAGGGTGTTGCCATCAACTTCGTCACCGCTGACGATGTCCGTATGATGCGCGAGATCGAGCAGTTCTACAGCACCCAGATCGAGGAGATGCCCATGAACGTTGCTGGTAAGTTTCCTTTCGTCCTACCGTCTGGATGATTCTAATAGGCTGGCAGACCTCATCTAAACACCTTAATTCCCGAATCACCTCATGCCCCTCGATGCGGATTACGAATGCAGTTGCCAATAACGCTCCAAGGGTGAGCTGCGGTGGGAAAGACGTTCTGTCGTCATGCTTATCTTGGTAAAGGATCATCCTTCAAAAAGTGGCTTTCTGTGTCTCCAGCATTTTCTCTTTTTAGCAGTGGGCGGCAGGGGCCTGCAGTGGCCATGCCATCATGTCCTGCGTGTTCTTGTCGAATACTTACTGTTTATGGTTTTCCTTTTTCTTTTTGTTATGGAGATGCGACAACGTTCGTGCGGTTTTATTGCTGTAATTCATGGTTCCTCGCTTCCGGAAACGCCTTTTCTCACGCTTTTTCCCATTTGATTTTTGTGCCTTGCTCGCTCCGGCTGGTCGAGGATGTTACGTTCATACTTGATCCGAAGGTCGGGCACCTAAAATGTGATTATTCTCGTTCGACGGCTTTTTTTCTCTTTTGCCGCAAGGATGCGGGGAGATGGAGATGATGTGTATGAACCCCTGGCTCCGACTGGGTCTGTATCCCTGTGTTCATTACAATAGACGAGAAAGGTACCGCTTGTTTCGCTCTGGCTGCCCGTGCAGTGTGGCGAGTCTGGGATGATACGTTTCTGGCTATTTATCTTGTATGTGCTGTCAAGAGGTATCTATATCTCAGTCAGCTAGTCAGCTAGTCAATATCCAGACTTCTGGTAAATTATGCCTCACATTCTTGTATTCCACCTTAGATTCTACCTCCGGCACTCTTTCTTTCTTCCATACACCAACTCTATATACCTCATTCAACCCTCGGACAGCATAAATCTACACCTCCCTACCCATTCGAACCGAATCCAACTCAACCTCCCCACCATCCACGACAACCCAATCCACCACCCTTAATCCTCACCACCACCAACCCACAAAGTACACAGTCCATTCCATTCCATCAAGCACCCTCAGCTCCCACCCACCTCCCTCTCTACAGAAACCTACTATACCATACTCCCCAACCACGGCCTTTCCTTTTCCATACTCCAAACCTAAAAATCCACACCTCTGGACCCCAAAGCACATCCACAAACCCCCCACCTAAAACACGCAATCCCAATGCCATCAACCACAAACACAACCACAACCACAACCCCGGGAAACCCGGGCCCCCCACCAGCCCCAACAACTGATCCTGCTACTGCTGCAGCAACAAGTGCTACAACAACAACACCAACAACCCTCCTCTGGGCCTATGAACTCCGCCGCGAGAACATCGAGCTCGCCGCCCGCCTCGCCGCCGCGGAGGCCACTATCGCTGCCTTGCAGTACCAGCTGAAGGATGTGCGGGAGGAGTTGCAGGTCCAGGTCCAGAAAGTCTGTGCTCTGAAGGAGAGGGAGTGGGAGGAGATGGAAAGGCGGGTGCAGGGGGTGGAGGATTCGGTGAGGGGCGAGGTTGCAGTGCTGGCGGGGTTGGTGGAGGGGGTGCAGGGTAGGGTTGCGGGGTTGATGGCGAGAAGAGAGGGGGGTCTGGGTGGGGAGGTAGGGCGGGAGGATGATGGTTATGGGGAGGAGGAGGTGCTGGTGCCGGATTCGATGTCTGCTGGGGCTGCTGGGGCTGGTGGTGGTGGTGGTTTGGGGTATATGGATGGGGTTGGTGTGAGCGGGGGGTTGCGGTTGGGGATGGGGAGAGGGGGTGGGTTGTCTTCGACGGTTGAGGGGGAGAGTGAGAGTACTTCGTGGGAGAGTGGGAGTTTGGATTGTGGTGGTGCTGGTGATGGTGCTGGTGGTCGTGGTGATGGCTCTGTGGTGATGGCTGCTGGGATGGCTTCACGGATGAGGGGGGAGGTTTGTAAGGTTGCTTCTGCTGCTGCTGCTGCTTTGCAGAATGATGCAGACGGGGCTTTTGGTGGTGGTTCCGGACGCAAGATCAATAGTCAAAGTGTCAGGGACTGGGTTGAGGTGTTGGAGAATCGGGGGATCGTGCGCAAGAGGAAGAGGGCGAGGCGGTTCATACCGATTGTTCCGGCTGATGAGGAGGATGTTCTCATTGCGAGGGCGATGATGGTTGGTCATTGAGCTTAGGGATGATGTGATCATTGAAGATAAAATCTCATTCGAGGGGGTATGTATTTGTATGTGTAAGTGTATATATACTGAATGTTCTCCAAAACCCACTATACCAGTCTCATTCGGTCTAGGTCTCGGCGTACCGGTAGCGGCCCTCGCGGTCCTGCACCTCAACCTGGATCCGCCCCTCCTCGAGCTCCTTGCCGTCCACCTCGATGGACGCCGTCATCACATCCCCGGACTTGACCTCGCCGACGCCCTTGGGCGTCCCGGTCAAGACCAGGTCGCCCTTCTCGAGGGTCATGACGCGCGAGATCTCGGCCAGGAGGCGCGGGATGCGGTAGAGCATCAGGCCGGTCGAGTCAGCCTGGCGCTCCTCGGCGCCCACGCTCAGGCGCAGGAAGGCGTTGTGCGGATCGGGCAGACGGGCCTTGGTGATCTCCTGGGAAATGGGCAGGAAAGTGTCGAAGCCCTTAGCGATCGTCCAGGGGAGTCCCTTCTTCTTGGCCTCTTCTTGGACGTTGCGGGCGGTCATGTCGATGCCGAGGAGGTAGCCTAAGTATCACACAGGCAACGCTTAGCCAGGTGCTTTTCGAGTTGTGGATTGTGGGGGTGTAGACTCACTGTGGATCGCATCCAATGCGCCCTTGCTGTCCTCCGGGTCGAGGTCCCGCACCGTCTTGCCCATCACGAGGGCGAGTTCGACTTCATAGTGCAGCTTGGTACCCTGCGGGCGCAGGACGGGACCCTGGCCGGGGAGGAGAATGGAGGAAGAGGGCTTGAGGAAGAAGAAGGGCTGCTTGGGCTTGGTGTTGTTGAGCTCGGTAATGTGATCGCTGGAGATGGAAATGTCCGTTAGCCTGGTGAGCGCGGTGATTAAACGGCTCCATTGACAAAGGGGCCTGACGCATAGTTTCTGCCAATGCAGATGACCTTTCTGCACTGAGCCTTGATCGCGGACGCCATTGTGTTTGTTGTGTGTCAAAATTGTAGAAGTGCAGCAAGTAGAGGAGTCAAGTAAGTAAGAATTGCAGAAAATTGGAGGATACGATGGCAGGCGGATAAGAATATAATCGGCCGGGGAGGCGGAATGGCTCTCCGCGCTTTTTCATTGCGGAGAGCTCGGATTCTCCGAGGTTCGGAGGTTGGAGCCGGGGGTGGCCCCCAGTCCTGGGGAATACTGGTGTGTCATTTCGATAATTGATTCTTCGGATTGAGATATGAAAATGAGAGATCTGAAATTATACAACGGTTGTATAGAGAAGTGAGTTGTGATATGCGCGATCAAGCATAACTGACTGAAATGGACTTTCTTACGTCACGCGGGCTGCAGGTGAGCAGCTGCTCTCCCAGCCGCCTTCCACCTTGTTGACACTGTCGCGACACAACCCCCGGTCACAAATAAGCGCAGTTGTTGATAACTTACCCTCATCACCATGCAAGTAGCGGAAATCCTCTCCGATCTCACCTCTTTGCGCGTCTGTGTATGTTTTGTGCCTTTCATCCAGCCGCCTGTCGACCAAACAAGAACTAATGCCTTGCAGGATTACAACGACGCTCTGGCACTCGTTACCATTCAAGAGAGATTGGACTCTCACCCTGAAGAGAAACAATCACAGCCCAGCAACAGGGAAGAAACACCTGCTCTGCAGCAGGAAAAGGACCAGCTACGCCAAGCAAAGGAACTAGTCGAGCTACATCATGATGTCAAGGCTCGGCATGCTTTGGGGACCGTGGATGAAGGGCTGGCCAACTTGAGGCAAGACGTTCAACGTGTCTTACTGGAGCTGAGGCCCCGCACAACGCTACCAGAATGAAAGAAAGTACATAGCACAATACCAAGGTCTAATGTGGGGCTGTACTGCGAGGCGCTTGCAAAGCTTTGTGTTCTATGTCCCATCTAATTCGGACACTTTCAGTGAAAATAACGATGGCATTGACCTGGCCCATTACAGAGTTTCCACGCGTGCAAGTCATAGGATCGCTCACGAGGCAAGCGAAACTGGCGGTGGGTTTTTGGGCGAGGGATATCCGTGCTCAACACCCGAGTAACCATCATTGTACCAGTCAGAGACCGCAAGTCACCCGTAATCCATTTACTGCGTGCGGCACAATAGGAACAAACTCTACACCAGTCCAACCACCAGTATCTCTCGGAGTCAAGGTCCCTGTGAGGGCAGGTGGGTATCTGCTTGCACCAGATCGCAAATGGCGGTACCTTGCGGAATCTATAGTGGTAGTATGTCCTGACCACGAGACTGTCTGCGCCCTCGGACGAAATTTTCATCTCCAGGCTGCACTCGATTTTGGCTTGTGGGGGTGTAGAGCACGTGTGCGTCAGGATGCGGTTGCCTCGATCGTCGTGCGCAACCTGGTATCGCCCATCTGACTCATCCCCGAGAATGGGGTATCGCCGGTCTTGTTCGCATGCTGCCTTCTGAAGTGATTTTACCAGACGTAACATCCCGCGAGGCGTGAGGCTAGTGCAGGCGCAAAGATCGAGAATCCCGGCGAATGACGCACACCTTCGCTCAATGGATGGCGTCTGATCCCGCAGCCGCCGCGAGTATTCTTTGCGAGGGTGTAGTTTGAGGCAGGCTGCGCAGTATCTCCAGCGACGATTCTCAAGCAGAAGGAGGAAGCGGTTCCGGACCACATGTTTCTGGTTCAGGGAGATCAAGGGATTGAGACTTTTCAGCAGTTGCGGGAAAAGCAGAGCGCCTCATCCTTCAGCACGTACGAGAAACAGTTGTAGAGAGGCTTGCAGGTTAGCGCAAAGCAAGCCTGCGAGGCAAGCGGGAGGTAGAAGAATATTCCCAGGACGAGCTCGAAAGGCAAATTGAGCAAAGTGCATGGCCTGGCACAAGGCCAAGCACGCTGGAGTAGAGCCCGTATCTGGCTGAGTATTAGTCCAAATATCCCGAAACGAAATACCTGAGGGGGACTAGGAAGGAAGTGAGTTAGGATAGCGGTCTCTCAGCAGAAGCCTAGTTTGCCTAGTATTTCCTCTAAGTTGACAGGATTCAGGATCCTTTGGAGCGAGCGATCGGCTAGATTAGTGTCTTGACTACGGAAGGATATAGTGTCTAGACATCTCTTTTGGCTGAGCGCCGAGATATTCCATCATTTATACTTGATAGTTTCACCGCCTGGTAGGCCGTTTGGGGAACTTCGGCGGTCAGCCTCGAAAGGAACAGGCAGAATGGAACCCTGTTGGGGATAGCTAGAGCGTTGAGTGTTAAAAGCAAGTACGTACAGGACAGATCCATTTTGACAGGCGAAAGCAATGACCTCTGAGATTGTCCGAGCATTTCCGACTATTGAAGGAGTTCCGGTTCTCAAGATCACAGTATAAACCATCTTCTCAGTACAAATGAATCAAACAAGTACCATAGTCTCAACCCTAAGCCTCCTTGATACTCCCGAGAAAAGTGGAACAAAGTAGGCGTAGTAAATTCGACTTCAGGATCGAGTACACCAAGTCAAGCAAGTACCGTCCCTAGCGGAGAGGGCTAAGGTCGACCGATTACTGTCGGTTCTGTAAATAAAGTGAGTGCACTTGGCCTTCCACTGTTCGACATTTTGACGCTCTTTCGCAGTCTTAGTCCCAAGCTCTTTGTCCCTTTCAACCATCTAAATCGAAGAACTCCGTACTTGAAGTCCCTTGAGCAAAGGTTTCCTCAGCTAGAAAGCTGCAAGTATTCCAAATTGGGGAGATCGCAGACTTCTGTACATAGGAGCATATAGCGAGCAGCTTGGTTGACAAAAGAAACCATTGGATTTGTTTGCGAGACTCCGGTTGTTGAAGTCAATCCTGCATCTGCAGCTGGATTTGACGGGGCGTCACTGCCCACCTCTTTTCTTCTTTCCTGGTAGGTACAGCCCTGTAGGCCGCTGTCGAGACCGATGCCGAAAGCGTCTGGTCAGCAGAGAAATAGAATTTGTATCAATAGACTGAAAACTCGCGGCGTGCTGCTGCCTGCTTGAAAGAGGAATGAACTTGTTGCATCGAATGCTTCATAAGGTACTGCACGATGAAGGTATGGCAGTGATTTGAGGAAGGAGTAGGTCACTGAGTCAAGGTATAGGCTGTTTGGATCAGGCATCAGTCTATGAGGTGACGGTAGAAGGAACTTCTCGGATCCGGGGTTAATCTTACTTTTGTAATCACCGGGTCGTTGCGAGGAGATGAGGTCCGGTGTTACTTGTGTAAATTGGATTTCTGGTCGTGGTGTTGAACAGCAACTCTCGAGGCAAGAGTTTTGTGGGGAGCAGGAAGATGGGAAGGAGATAGTGGTTTGTACTCGTGGAGAAGGAATTCATTAGACGTCTCTGGAGATCGGGAACCTCAGTGACAGGGCTGGGTGTTGGTATGGGTGAAAGTGGAAGAGTGTAGAAAGCAAGAGGAAAGATGAGGCGAGAGACGGGGATGGAAGTTCATTTATGCTCAGGCTGCGGGGCTGACAAGGTCTGACTTAGGTGAGGTATTCACCATGATATCTCATCTCTAGCAGTTCTCAGTATCTGTGAACAGCGACAGACGATCTGACTTAAGACTTTGTTGTCAAGATGTTGATTCATCTCTCAGCTCGGGTTTGAGTTTGTATGGAGAAGCCTAAGAAATCAGACCAAACCGAGACTCATAACTGGTATGAGAGTTAGACAAACTCTCTAAAATCTACGTCAATTCTCTGTCAGAAGAGAAGTGAATACTTGACTATGCTGCCATCTCACCCAACAATCCACACGACAAGAAATTTCACCTCGTCTATCCTAAGGGCTGAAAGTGAATATCGACAGCACCACCAGTACTATTCACCTCCCAAGCATGTACATAGACAGCGCAGATACACACACAAGCTCACAAGTACAGCACTATCATCGCAGCAAAGAATCAGATCAGAAGAAGATCACTAACACTAACACAAACAGTCACCAGCACCCTACCGCACATTGACACCTGCAAGGTACAGTACAGTACAGAACACATTCCGCAACTCCACAACCACCCCGCAAATGCACCCCTCAACAACATGGGCCTAGATGTGACAAGCAAGAATGTTCCACATCCCTCAGTCTGTTACATTCCCCTGACCCTCGAAATTTCAAATCATGACTCACAGTAGCAGCACCCATGACTCCTCAATCTTTTTCCAAAATGCCGGTATCCTGAATTTCAGGGTGCTAGCGTGGTTTTAATTTCCCGAAGGTGGTACAAGGGGCCAGGACGATGCATACAAAGCCGCCTTCTTCAGGAATGAGTGGGCGGTACGGGTGTGGGCTGTAGCATGCAGGAGATGCGATTCATGCACGGCAATTACACATCCTGTCGGTGACTCGGGCAACGTTGCGAGGTTTCGCAAGGGGTGACAGTACCTAGCCTGACCCTGGCACGTGTTTCAGGTCGCATTCTTTGAGGTGCATTGACATGTTGAGATACTTTGGAGGGGGGGGGGGTGGAAGAGGAACATCAAAGCTAACAGTGTATTCATTCGGTCTGAACCATGGAGTCATAAATAGAGGGTCATGAATTGACGCAACCATGCCTATAAACTAACATTCTTAGAGTTCGCTTAGCACGAAAACCACAACGCCTGACATTGAACCTGCAGAGTGCCAACGGGATATCAAGTATAAACAACAGATGTGAAATATAAAAAGAATGAGAGAAAGAAGCACGCTAATATGACCACTAAAACCACGAAATATAGTGTAGTGTTGACCACATATATCAAGCAATGTAAAAGAATATAGGTAGGGAAGCGAGTGACTGCTAAGGACTACACCCATGGATCAGTCTGTCCTTGGGTGTTGTATGGACTAACAGGGCCAATGAGTCGGATTTGTGACTTCAGCTGCGAGTGTCGTCGCTCAAGCTTGGCCCCACTGATCTTCTTTCGAGCCCCGCCGATAGCACCCAACAGGTGGGAGGTTCCGCTGTGGAATGCCTTGACGTAGTCACGAGTGTTCTGCTGGATCTGGGAGCGGGCCGGAGGTGTCAGAGGAGGCGTGGCCGATGAGATGAATCCTTTCGGTGTTGGCGGGCTTCTCTTTGCATACTTCGGAAACCGCACCTGGCGGTTTTGCCGATAGCTCACGCGCTTCTCGCGGCCCGGCTTTTCCCATATGGAAGCGCCGTGTTTTGGGTAAGGGCTGAGAGGAGCAGCGAGCTGCTTCTTCCGCAGGGTAAGTGGTGGCGGGCGCTTCACTCGAGCGCTGACAGTCGATCGCGAGGACCGTGAGGACGCTCCGGACAACCGCTTGCCTGAGCTGGGAAAGCCCATGGGACTGGGTGGCATCAGAGGGCTCACTACCTCGGTGCGCTCTTTTGACAGCGTCCACTCAATCGATGGTGTTTGATTGCGCGGATAGTCCGAAGATACTGTGTCGGGTCGCGAGTCTGGCCGCGAGCTCGGCCGGGCAGTGTCGCGGTCTACCGAATGTTTGGACAAGCGGCGTTGCACGTAAGATCGAATCGAGTCTCGAACATCATGCGCAAGAGCGCGTCCCCCCTTGTCGGACGAGCTCCAGCGACCGCGAGACCTGGAGAAGTCGAAGACCGCGAGGTTCAGTCGACTGCTGCTCTTCTTCCGAGAAGCAGCGGCATGGTTGGTGGGACAAGGAGGTAGGGCGGACTGAGGGGCGAGTTCGGGGAAGAAGTCCCATTTCTTCTCGCGGAAATAGTGATTGGGACCGGCTCGCTTGACGGTCCAAGGGGCTGGTCGGTCGACATGATCATCGTGTAAGAAGGTGGCGGTAATGGCCAGCGGTTTAGAGTCCCCATAGTGATCGATGGGGGCGGAGGCGGGAGGATGATCGACTAGTTCGGTCAGATCATCGGACCCTGAGCGAACAAATACGGGGTAGCTCTCGGTGGTAGACACTTCGGAAAAGCGTCGGCTGCCATAGTAACTGGAAACCATGCTGCTGTCGTCGCTCCAGGCGGTTGAGCCAGCATCCATGATTGAGGGGGCCTCTGGTAGAGGTTTGGCGGGCAGCTCGGGGAGCGGTTTATCTAAAAGAAAGGTTGGGCGAACAGATGGCGGCTGAGGGATTCGAGGAGGGATGACTTGTTCCAATCCTTCTAAGGACCGAGACGGTCTCACAGGAGGAGCTTCTCGTGGCAGCGCCAACGAGGATGGAGGAAACATGTTGATCGGAGTGGGGTTGGGACTGATTGACGGGCCGATGGGCGGCTAATGAGGGTGGAGTGGAGAGAATGTATAAACCAGCGAGAGGGGTCACTCAATGAAAGAGAACTTGGAAGGATTCCCCGATGATTTCACCGACTTGAGACGGACACCTCTGACTTGTTCTCTTCCTCCAGGGATGAAACAACCAGTCAAGTTCAGTAAGTAGGTTGGTAATAGTAAGTCACAATTGAAAAGAGAGTCAAGTAATCTTGAAGGGAGTGGCCAGTGAAGTTGTGAAGAAGAGATAGTAGTAGGCTTAGGCTTTGGCCTAGGCTAAGGCTATGTATGGCCTGAAAACCCAATGGAGCATGCGTTGGACCCGGCAATTGGACCAGACCAAGTCGAGTCGTAATAATAGTTTAGTCAGTCAGGCAGTTTTTGCTTCTTTTATCACCCGTCGCGTGCTGCTCAGTGCACTTTTTAACCTTTGTTGGCGTCCGGGATGACAGGCTGAGAGTTGATCGAGTCAATGATGGCCAGTCCCTTTCACCTTCAACCAGTTGCCGTGGTTCTTCTGCGGGACTGCAAAGGGGTTGCAGATGGTGATAAAGGAAAGGCCAGAACCATAGTTTGTTCAACCCCCCGAATTAGACTGAAAGGAAGGGAAGAAGGGAACGAGGGAAAGAGAAGGAAAGCAAAACGCGGCACACAAGGAATGGGGAGGGAGGATGATAAAGGAGGGGTTAAAAGCGAATGAAACGAGGAGGAAGAGGAGGTTGAAGCAAGACAACAGAGAGAGGATCGGGTACAAGCAGCGAACAGCTCGATGATTGACCGATGATTTTGGCTGCTTTGGCTGTTTTGGCTGCTGGTTGCGATGCGATATGCATGAGGCTGGCTCTAGCGTCGAAAGGGGGATGAAGGCTGCAGCAAAACGAGGCCGCATTATTTATTAGATTTCCAATTAGTATACTATTTTTTTTTAAATTATTCATCCTATTCTTATTTTAATCATTGATCATTTATCCATCCTTGATCCCGCCAGAACCAGGTCATCCCTAGTTTTGTCCTGCCCGGTTAACGGACGGAGTTTCCCGGATTATGGGCGAGAGCTGAAGATGGCTTGCTGCGGTCCGGAGTAGAGAGTGCTAAACTGTCCCAAAGGGATGGCTAGACCCGCTTGGCTTGTTAAGATATTGATTGGGGGTTAATCTTGGAGTCGACTTAACCTTCAAAATCAATCAAGAAAGTAAAACCCCGATGTATCTCAAATTGTCGCGGGCAGTTCCTGGTCGGCTGCAGGATCATCATGGTCATCATGGGCATGGAGTCATGAACAGCCTCATTGAAGTGACACATCCATGCAAGGGATGGAGCTGGAATGGACCTTGATCGAGATGGGGAGTTCCCTGTTTGCATACGAAAAGCCCGATGGGTGGGTGGTAGTGCAAGTGAATCTCAAGGTGATGGTAATGGTGATGGTGATGGTGATGAATCATAACAATGTGATGATAAACAGACTAACGGGAGATGGAAATTGAATACGAAGACCTGAGGAAGCCTAAGAAGGGCTGAGAAGGAAGAGTGTGCTTACTGCTTACTGTTTTTACTGCTGACCTACAGTAGTGCGTATGATGATGATGTTCTTTTAGTTAGTCCGATCTTCCCCCGTCAAGTCTAGCCCTTTTCTCCGTTGCCCGATAGTTAAACATCAATCAGTTCTACTGACTGTATGGCAGGCAGTACAGTACATGCCTTCTTCGTCGCCTGTCTTTTCCACTTCCAACCACATTCCCTTTCGCTTTTTCTCTTCGGCCATGCCGATTGTCAAGAATTCAAATAACATCATCACATAATCTACATTATCCGCTGGTCAACAGCCATTCATGAATCGGTGCCTGGCTGCTGCAGCTAGGGCAAAAAAATAAATCAACAAAATGAGACTAAGTTAGACTTCGCTTAGCATGACATACATTAGGACAGATCACATAGCGGTAGGGAGGATCTCCCTGTGGGTTGCCTTTTCCTTCCATTACTCTGCCACGTTATTCTTCCCTCTCAGCAATAATAGTAATATGTTCGGCCGGTTCTAATCCGACCTCGGAGGAAGAGCCTCCTTCCTCCCTCCCTCGCTTCTTTCTTTCTTTGTTCGTGGCTCAGTACTCCGTACAGAACTAACTTACCCCCGTGACACAATATCGCCACAACGACACCCGTCCTCTTCAGCCCATAATATTCATTGTTCTAATTCACCAAGGTCTTTCATGGCCCTCGATCACATCACTACCTTCATCTAGCATGGTGAAATGCTCGTGTCGTTCTACTTTCTTTTTTCTTGTTCTTCGTTACACTGGTCGATCTCCAAATCCTGACCTTTGCCATGCCCGGGATCGACTGGCTGGTGGAGCAATACTTGCAAGGAACTGAGAGATAGTCGTGGTCCAAACATTGACAGGTCATATAGTACCCGGCTCGTGCCGTTCAATTGACATCTCTCTTGGGTGTTCTCGTCTCTTTCTATTCTCTCTTCCCCCCTCGTTCTTGCTTGCATCCACAGTTCGTTCCTTCATTGTGAAATCATTAGGACAGCAGTGGCCATCAGCCCCATGTCCCCGAGACGAGACCAGCCATTGTGATTACCTGATCCGTCGGCACAAGATCAAAGGCAACTGTTGTACATATGCAGCGCCACAAATGTCCTTCGCAGCGGACATGCTGTGCAATGGATGCGAGTCGGGCATATTTCGGATGGTGATGCTGAAATGGTGGCCCCGAGTCCCGAGTAGATCACCGATCATCTCCTACGAGACGGTGAACAACGCAGTGAGACCCCTATTCCAGGTTTTGCTGATATCGTGCTGCTGGATGGAGCAAGGCCATGTCCCTCACGACCGAACAGTCCCGCTCCACTCTCCTGCACAGCTAAGCTCGACAAGACCAACACCGCTTCCATTATGAACCTTCTAGAACAAAAGAGACTCAAGGGAGGGCCACCAATCGCACAAGTCACCGCTCATGCTTTTAGGAATCTGGCCCACTGGCACCATCGATCTGTTTCAGATATGCCGCCCGGCGGAGGTCGATCTTATGGGGGTCATTATTGCTGTTGCTGCCGAGTTTGGCGGCGGCCCGCCATCCTGGAGATTGGAGGACAGACCGCATATTCTCTTCCTTCACCGTCAACCTGCCAACAATGCTTTGATCGGCACTAGGACCCTCCTGCCTGACATCATCATTGCTCATATTCGTGTTCTTGGTCACATTCAAACCGGTACTACCCACCTGCGTTGTAGCTTTTCCAGTACCAAGCATCAAGATGAATTCTTGGACTGCCAGAGTGAGTCGGTGAGACTCAACTAGATGATCAGCAGACGCGAATACGAGGTCAAGGTCTCGGGGGATGTTGGGGACCGCCTGATCGATAGTAATCGCTGCCCGACCTTAGCTGGATACCAGTTGTAAATGCCTCACCAAGCATCTAAGACAGGTTTGACTCGCCGTTTCGGCTGAACAACCTCTCACGGCCTTGTACGCAGTAGCTATCAACATAGGGGAGGGAAAGCAATTGGTCTCGCTATCTTACCAAGCTCGTTTGCAATTGAAGATTGACAAAACTTCAAAATCTGCTACACTACTATAATACACTAAGCAAATACGACAGTAGGTGCTAGGCAGTGATCAGGTGATCAGACCGAGCAATCAGATAGAATGAATGCAAGAACAATCCAAGCACTTCTTCCTATTCCCCGTCTCCGCAGTCATTGACCGCCTGCACTTTATATCCGGGGATGGTTTGAGCATCATTGTGAATACCCATCGTGTGTTCTCGAGAGATTCTCACATAAGATGTAAATCTCTATTCAGCGAGAAATTCTCTAAAGCAAGCATGGGTACCATATCAAGACACGAGGTGGTACCTCGCGAGCCAACCATTCAAACATGCAGCTGCCATCTCCGACCCAGACAACAAACATCGCACAACGTCGATGCATCATGCAGGAAGTCTGAAGAAAACCCATCCCATCTCGTGCCGTCATTGCTCGCCCTGCATACTGTCACGAGACTCTTGCGAGAGTGAGCTAGAAGACGCAAGGTCTTCGACAGCCATCTCCTCCGATAGATCAGCGGAAGGTTTCCGAGGCGCACTGTATGGGCAATGATCTCTCCCTACTAGGTAGAGTCTCAAAGCCATCTCTACCATGATTATCTCCCACTAACAGACCCAATCCTGTCTTTCAGGTTAGGTACCTGATGATCGTACACCAGCCGATGATCCTTTGCCCAGGCGATGGTTCCCCGAAATGACGAGAACCCCGCCGAACCTCTAGCCGTCCATGGCTATAAGCTGGATAATGAACTGATACCCCGGCTTTGCAAGAGCCCATGCTCTGGACTCCGTTTCTTCTGGGACCATGGCAGAAGCCCTATAGCAGAAGCCCTGTCCCGGCCTCACCTCAATAATCATCATCACCAGCTTCTACTATTGATCCCTTTCAGTACCAGATACTTACAGCCCACGATCATTGATCCATCTCACGAGGTCAGAGCGCTCATATTTGCAGAGCAAGTCGTACAAAACCCCCAAACATTTCCTGCACTACCACGCAAACACCCTTTAGATCGACATACACATATTCCGGAGATAAACCCGCGGGGACACCGAGTCAACCAAGAATGACAAATACCGGGTCCCCAGAGCTTTGGCACCTAACCGAGGCGACCTTCCTTTTTACCGGAAATGTGGTTCATGGAGAGGTTCGCTGGCTGTTCGCAGGAACTAGCGTCAGCCTACGGATACGTGCATTGGAAAGCAATCAACGAGGAGCAGCGCAAAGGGCGCCACCGCCGGAGCTTCCACCCCCGCCGACTCCAACAGGAAACTTGTTGCGGGTATACTTACAAATCAAGTGCGACCGATGTGCATCGTGCATTTGGGGGAATTTGTCACACCTGGGCTGAGAGTTGGGAGGTGCCCTGATCTCGCGTGGCGCCGTCCGACTTCGGTACGGAGGAGTTGGAGTATTAGAGGTTGTGTGACGGGATTGAGTATAGATAATCGGATTCTGGGTTGCACACTGCTCTAGCGCAGCATCTACGAAGCTTGAGTCATCCTAGTCTGGCTGCTGCGATTCGGACGGTGAATCAAGGAATGTCCTACAGCCTTCAGACAATCTTGCCCTGAGAGATGTCTAACATTTGAGTTATTACTGACCATACCTTGAGATCTGGTTTGCTGTGGGCTTTGGAGCCTCTTGGATGGTCTCCTGCGCTTAGTAGCCTACGTTATGAGCATGGATGCCAGCTAGTGCTATTTCATCTGTGTCACCCCAACAGTCCCAATGTTGAGTCCTGCAGCACGCCATCTTGCTATAATTCCGAAGGGGATCAGAATTCCAAATTATCTCCGTCGATGGTCTTCAGCTCCTCACTCATGCACCCCAGCCCGTGGGCAAGAGGTCCAGGTGAAGTCGCTCTGTTGGGCTAAGCTTGCGGGGCATCAGAGATGTTTGCTATGTGGGATCGATGCTTAGCCGCTTATGCTGGCAATATCATCAGCCGTCTATTCCACCGGACTTGCATTTTGTTCCAATGCAATTGGTCATGTGTCGTCATAATATATGCAGGGGGGGATGACAGCCCTCAACTGAGCTTAGCAGCCAGCTTCATATCCTCCTTGGTCAACTGATCCCCCTTTTGCCGGACCGCACTCAAGCGGCCCATCTTCAGCAGGCGTGAGATCATCGCCTCGTCCCCAAAGTGGCTGTTGTGTCCAAACTCGGGTTCCTGTGCATACGCCACTCGCGCCACATCCACCATCATCCGAGCGGTCATGCCCCAGACCCGGTACCGCGCCGCCGCGGATCCCTTCTCCTGCTTCTCAAGCTGAGTGAGGAGGTGTTGCTGTTCTTCGTTCTCACCCTTCGGCTTGACCACGTCCTCCGAACGAACTGGAACGAAGAATTGGTGCACTTTTTTGGTAGGTGGTATGCGTTAGCGCCCAGCACAGGCCGATTTCTTCAGCGAAAGTCGCAGACGAAAGAAAAGATAAAAGCTTACTTCTCCACCGACTCTCATGCCACTCCGTCCACGATCCCCGATACCACTGAGGGTCAGTATCGCCCTTGACGCGCAGGAAATCCTGGAAGGGGGCGGTAAACACCGCCGCCACCTCCTTGGCATCCAGCCGGGGGATCAGCGACACCTCGGGGTCGGCGTTCTCGGCCGTGGCCTCGTCGTAGGAATGCAGCAACGCGACACACGGCCGGACCACCAGCTCCGTCCGGGCGAGGTTCGCCGGGAGTTCGCAGAGGTGCTCCACGCGAAAGGGCCGCGGAAGACTGCTGTCCTCCTGCGGCAGACCGATCTCCTCGTAGGCCTCGCGGCGGGCCGTCTGAAAGGGTGATTCGGCCAGAGAATCGGCGCGGCCTCGGTGAATCAGCTCTTGACCATTGCTTAATGTTTCAAAGAACAACATGAACATAACATGTACTCACCACCGGGTAAAGCAGCCTGACCAGCATCTACTCATGATAAATCCATCATTAGCAATCGATAGCACCAAAAACTTTGACCGGCTAATTCCTCCCCGCAGTCCAAAACAGGGGAAGTGAATACAAGAACTCAACGTCTTCGCTCTCATCGTCAGAACCACCCTCAACGCCCCCTCCCGATCCGCATACAGCAGCACCAAGACCGCCGCGCGACGCGACAGCGGAGCGAGGTCGTAGTTCGTCGGCGGCGGCGTATATTGTCTGAGTCTTTCGATGGCGGCCTAGACAATATTTCACAGAAACGTAAACTTGGTCAGTCATGAAAAGACACGCTTGTACTGTGCTGTACTGTAGATCATATTGAGCATGTTGAGAGATTCTGTCAAAGCAAAGTAGAGAGCCCTTTCCTTTGTGTGTTCTGGGCTATTGACAGTCTGACAGTAAGAAGTTGGAGTTGGAGTTGGAGACGGGTGTAGGGTTTGTGTTTGCGTTACGTCATCTTCCCCTTTCCCTTTTAACTTGCCCTGTCTGCGCGTGTAGCAGCACCGGGGTCGGAGGTGAATGGGATGTCTCCATTGGGAGATTGGGATTTAGGGGGAAAACTGGGGGTTGGGTATGGTATTTTTCCGAGATCGAGGGGAAGCAAGCAGCTCTTCGATTTAATCAATGGGGGAAGGTAAGGTACGGTACCTGCGAGACGGGGTTGAGCCGCGGCATCGTGGTCAGGGATCTTCTACGCGTGCCGAAGGATTGAGGATGGGATTGGGGTTGGAACTGGGGATAGGATAGTCGGGCACTGGAATTGAGGCGTGAGTGGAGGTGGAAGTGGAGGTGGAGGTAGAGGCGGGAGGAGGAGGGGCGCATTGCCGTTCTAGATCAAATCGGCATTCGAGTTCTTGTTCCGTGGTCGGGGGGGTAAAGAAAGGAAGATATAAGATGGGAAACGGAACGGAACGAATGGGCTGGATATGGAGATATTGTACTAGGGAATTGGGGTTGGCGTTGGCGTTGGCGAAGGGTCAAGGTGGAGGTGGAGTGGAGGTGGAGTGGCACTGTGGCAGAGGCAGGGCCCGAGTCCGGGGTTTTCGATTGCCGAGGTTGGTGTAGGCGGAAGTGGGAAGTGGGATTGGATTGTCCGCTGGAAGGGAAGAGGAACGACTTACGGTCCACGATAGGAATTAGGCCTATTTAGGTCAGAGGGGACCCCATGTACTGTAACTGCAATGGGTTTGGGATTGAGGCAGGGGATTGATATTGATACAATTAGGGGTATTCAACCGGATTATCTCAGTATCTCCTCAGCTGCCAGGCTGTTGCGGGGGCATCCCAGTCCTCGCCTGAAGCTGCGTTTTGCTCTTATTCGTACTCTTACAGTGCTGATATCCTATACAGCACCCAAAACACGACGGTTCAGTATGAAGTCTATCATATAAGCACTAACTAACACAAGAGTAGAAAAGAAAAGTAGAGTAATATGTCTATATGTCACAGAGGGTCATCAAATTTCGAAAGCAACGCCCACACACAGAGAAAAAAAAAAGATCCAGAGGCAATTCGGCATCGAGTTACAGCCTTCTATTTCTTCTCCTCCTTGGCAGCGGCAGCGGCTTCCTGGGCAGGGCTCTCCTCGACGCGGTCGCCCTCCTTGACGGCCTCGGAGGCCTCGGAGGCCTGCGAGCGCGAGCGGTACTTGACTTCATCCTTGTCGTCGTCGATATCCTCGATATCCTGGGGCGCGGAGACGCCCTTCTCCTCGTTCTCGCTGTTCTGGCTGTTCTCCTCCTCGATGAGCTCCTGCTGCTCCTTGATGACCTCCAGGCGCTGCTTGTTGGTGGCGGCACCCTCGGCGTTGTGGACCTCGAGCTCGATCTCGTGGAAGAGCTCCTCGGGGATGCTCGACAGGACGGACTGCAGGGCCTCGATCTGGGTGGACATCTCGGCCTCCTTACCGCCCTGGGCGTAGACGTAGGCGTTGCTCAGCACCAGGAGCGTGGAGGGGACCCCCTGCTTCAGACGCAGGTCCAGCCAGACGGAGAGGTCCTCGCGCAGGCGGGCCGGGGAGACCCCGTGCGTGCGGATGCCGCGGGAGGCGCACGCCATCTGCAGCTCAGGCACGGACAGCGACTCCACGCCCTCGTAGAAGATGGCCCGGTCGTCGCGCTTGATCTGGCGCATGCGGTGGCGGATCGTGTACCGGAGCATCGCGTCCGTGCCGAACGAGTTGAGGTTCATGTACTTGCAGATGCCCACCAGCTGCGGCCGCGACAGGTTGTCCAGCGTCAGGTCGTCCTTGAAGATCTTGCACACCTTGATCACGTCCTCCGGCGTCGGCGACTCGCCCGTGGTCCGGATCTTCTTGAAGAACTCGGTGAACTCTTCGTTCTTCACCGTCGCCGCCGTCACGGGGAGACCCGATTCCCGCAGCGTGTCCTTCAGGAAGCCCGAGACCTCCTTCCGGGTGGAGCTGAGCTTCAACGCCTTCTTCTCGCGGCCCTTCTGGCCCTCGTAGGTGCTGGGCAGCATGTTGGGGAAGAGCTTCAGGGCGACCGGAAGCAGCAGTTCGGCGAAGGGGATGATGACGAACATGGAGAATGGAACCAGACGTCCCAGATCGGACACCGTTCTGCGAAGCTATTTTCATTGAGAGGCTGGATCAGCAAAGGCGTGTCTCCCTGACCGCACTGGCCGCGGAATCTTGCTGCAGTACTCACCTGGCGATGCTCTCTCCGGCTGAGTTCGTATCCCGCAGCCATCTTCAGCGCAAGGCGAGAACTGATCTTGACCTCAGTGGCCAAAAGCTTCGTACCGTCCCAGTAGTGCTGGGCTTCCTTCTTGATCTTCTGGCCGAGCGTCAACTTCTTCGTCTCCTTCTTCTCATCGGTCTTCTTGTCGGCATCCGTGCTCTTGGCCGTCGTCAATTCATTCGAGATTTCCGTGCCGGATGTCTTAGCGGGGGCCTTGACGGACTGTTCGGACGCAGGAACCACCTGTTTGGCGGGCTGCTGCTGCTGCTCCGCAGCGAGCGGCTTCTTGGCTTGTTCGGCATTGAAGCCGGGGGGAGGGAGAGGGTCAGAGGAAGAGGATGTGGAAGAGGATGACTCGGTGGCATAGCCGCGCTGGTGGGGGACGAGGATCGCAAGGGCCGAGATGTGGGATGGCAGTCCTCTGCCGTTGAGGCGGAGGTTTGCGGCGGTGTTCGCAGCCAACGCTCCGGTCAAACGCGGTCGGACTAGAGACGCATCACATCTGAATTAGCCGTCACATTGGTCGCTAGCAAATTATTCGGTGCTACTGAATTGATCCGCCCAGCGATAAAAGCGGGATAACATACCGACCAGGTTTGTGCGCAGCGCACCACTGCCGCGCATAAGGCTAGCTGACCTCAGTGTGACGGACATGGCGAAGATCTAATTGAAAAAGCTCGGGGCAACGAGCGAGGGCAACAGATATGCACAGCAATGCGAGATCGGAAAGTAGTCTGTAATCCCAGCGAAACACACAGGTATAATTGGAGGCGATAATAGTTTGGAATTCGGGGAGGGAAGTTTGTCGTCGTGGTGTCGTCGGCGAAGGTCTGGAGCAGAAGGTGGCTACTTCACGTGACCTCTCCGGTCTTCGGGGATAAAATGGATTTTGTCGCCGCCGAATCGGGAGCTCCGCCTCGCAGTCCCGTCCGCTTCTTCCTAAATCCCGAGCGAGTCCGCCTTCCTGCGAGTATTTCGGAGAACGTATCCTCCATTGGTGAGTCAGAGCCCGGGCACTCATGCAGACTTAGAGGGATAATAAATATGTCATTGGTTTCAAAAGAAAAATTCATTCAGTCATAATAAGCACAACTTCCGCTCTATCTAATGGCTACATCAAAACGCAGAACTAACTACACACTCGACTAAAATCAGGCTAATCCAGCATTGCTCCAAGTGTAGAAAGGGAAGGAACGACTATCGAGTTGGGTATCGTATTGGAGCCATTCAAAATGCAATCGCGGGCCCAGAGAATGTGCAAGTAAAACCACTAAGACCATAGAGAGTAAATAGTAAACCCTTCGCATAGATAGAAGAATTACGATCTTTCCCGCACGGTGGAGTCGTTGCTGGGAACTGCAGCGCTCTCAACACCAGTAGAAGCCGCAGGGGCATCCAGAAGAGGGATTGCATCAATGCTAGCCTTGTTGGGCTCAGCGCTTCCGGCGGTAGTCGACTCAGCGTGGGCCTTGTCGGCAGAAGATGCGCCCTGGTCAGACGGTAGCAGCATTGGGCTGATGGCTCCCTCGGGAGACGAATGCCACCGCGCCACATCTTTCTTGAGTTCCTCCAGCTCTTTCTGAAAGCGCTTGCCAAAGATGTCAATGTAATATGTGGCACCGTTGTGCACACTAAGAATGAAGAGGGCGGTAAGGAAAGCTCCACTGGCCCACCGAGACCAAAACCAAAGAGGGCACGGGATCATCGTTAGAATCGCGTAGAAATATTGAATCAGCATGAAAGCCGGGGCTTGCAGGGATTCAGGGAGGCTCAAGACGAATTTGCCCAACCAGGTCTTTGCGTAGGACTTGCGGAGCCAGGTGAAGCTGGTCGGGCGCCCGGCAGCAATCTTCTCCGCGCGTCGGACTGTGATAAAGCAGTGATAGGCCGCCTGCCAGATCATGTATGGCACAGTTGCCCACCCCATCATTTCGAGGAGTGTGAAATGGTCGGGAGACCCGGGTTCGCTAAACTTAATAGCATAAATGGCCGGGAACCTTGCTTTCAAAGTGGCGGCAGATGTCAAATGGACCAGACAATGCAGAGTCACCGGTGGCATTATATGGATGAACAGACTATGAGTTCAGCTAAGCAGATGTTCTGATGGACACGGGATTCTAAGAGCGCGCTTACCTGACTACCTTGTCCATACTGTGGAATACCATAGAGTTCCGCCACATGGCAATAGCCACCGCATTGTTGCCAAACGTCAGACAGAAGGTGCTGATGAACAGTCGCTTCGAGCCGGGAAAGACCCAGATGCTCAGCATGCAGAGCAGATTGACAAAGTAGCACAAATCGGCGAGGAAGTAGTGGTAGCCTCGCTTATGGTACCCATAGTATCGAATGGGCATGAAATACGCCAACTGTGCGCTGAACCAGATGTAGAACCACTCCGGCCATCCTCCAAGAAGATAGCCACTGATGAAGATATTGAGGACACCGGCTATGAAGGAGATCTTTTCGCGCAGAGTCACAGTTGCGGTTGCGTTCCATTGCTTGCCCAGTCTCTCCACGCCAGTCTTCATGCGCCGACGATACTTGTCAAGCCGCTCATCGGCCGTCGGAACCCTTCTTTTCCATTCTCCCACGACACGTTCTTTAGCATTCAAAGAGGACGACTTGAGTTTCTCGCGTTGTTTCTGCACCTTTGCCTTCTGTGCATTCAAAGCTTGCTGCAGCTTCTCCAGCCTCTGGGATAGAGAGAAATTGTCCAGCAGATCGAAGACGCTCAGCTGGTCCAGGGCCGGAAACGTCTCCCAGTCATCATGATAGGAGAAGGAGGGGTTGCGCGAAAGTCGACCAGGTGAAGCTGGCGGTGAGTAGAAGGTATCGGGGGTTCCTGGAGCTTCGTCCGCGTCGGACAGCTCTTCAGCCATCGCGGCCTGAAGGGCAGGAGAGTCGCCGCTGACTAGCGACTCTGTCTTTCTGAGTTCGGAGGATCCACTGCCTTCCTCCATCATGAGTCTCTGTTCGAAGGAGAAAATCGTAGGGCCGTCACGGTTGTGTGGATAAGGCCGGCTGAGAAAACGACCTATAGTTAGCATTCCCATCTTGACTGGCTGCGATCCCAAATCTTCCGAGCAACTCGCAAAGGTGCAAGTGATGGTAGAAAACTGAAGATTGGAGTGAAAGTTTGGGGTAAAGGGTTTTTATTGAATTGGGGCATGGTGGACAAATGCACGAGCAATTGACATACTGATAGGGGGCGGCAGATGATGTGCACCTAGGATCGGGGAAACTGATAAGGTAAGGTCGTACCAAGGTTGGTAACGATCCAATAAGTGAATGCGGAGGAGAATTTGGATGAGGAGTCCAGCCAGTGTGCTTCAGTACTGAAGGCGCATGACCGTAGCGGCAGATGTTGATCCAAGGGTCTTGAGGAGGAAGAAGAGAAAGAAAATGGGGGGAGTTAACAGCAAGTGAGAAGGATGAGAATCTGGGTGTGCACGCGTTGACGTAGCTGGTTGGCCCGGGCGAGCCTGTTTGGGTTGCAGCCTCAGGCTGTTCACCGCATCGATGGAATTCATGGATGATGATCGGATGCAGTGGAGTCCAACGGCCCGCTCCAAACCAATAGCCAAAGTGCCTGTCCCCACATGGCTTCTCAACCCCCGGAATCCTTCCTGCCTCAGGCTATCTAGTCAATCAACACCTCGTCGATTGAACAGTGTCTCAGATGTAAATCAGGCAAGGGTCAATCTGTCGGACTAAGCTCTACGATACGCGGGCATGACTATATTATGGTTTGAAGGACTCAGAGCTGTTGTCCTGGTCGTATCATTACATAGTTCTTGAAACCCTGACATGTATGTATATACAACCTTGCAGATAAAAACTCACCTAGATCAATGATGGTCCCCGCAGAGATACAGCAAACAAAAGAGTGTCAGGAAGAAAGCAGCAAGGTAGCCGGAAGGCACAGACTTTATTATGAGAGCCAGCTTGTGATACATGCAGCACTCACAAGGAAAGCTCCCGCCCGTTCCAATGACAGTGATCAGTAACCATTGTATGGAAGGGTGGCCCAGTAGCTCGAAGTGGCACTCTGCCCACCGGGCGGATGTGCCACTTGCTGCGCGAAATATTCTGGCAAGCTTTGAGACACAGTAGATTGCATGTCTCGAAACGCACCAGGATCTCTATTTGACTTTGAGGTGCCACCGATGTCAGCTGGTTCTTTTGACAAACCGTTGTCCAGAGAAACTGCACGGCTGACTGTAGAAGATGACGCCGGAGAGAGAGAGAAGCAAGCACTTGGGCTTGCCGAGCCCTTCTCTGATAACGATGGGCTTCTGTCACTTGACTGGAACAATCTCTGGGGATGATCACTGTCTAGGCTCCGCTCCGCAGCCTCTGCTATCTTCTCTGTATCTGGAGAGAATCGTGTCGCGTGGGAATTGATAGACTTGCGGATAGTTTCAACAGCAGAGCAAGAGTCGTTTGTCGACTCCTGTAACTCAGGGACATGGCATTGATCAGCAAGGTGAGCATGAAAGACGCGCACTGTTGTGTCACCACCTGTAGGATATTGTTAGCCCCTGGTTCGAATCGAGCGTGTAATCTCGGCTGTAACGTACTGATCTTTCCGTCCAAGTATAATTCTTCCATTTTCCGAACATAGAAGATCTCGTCCAAGACATCTTGCCGCCTCGTGGGCTGAATCTGACGTTTCACATCCTGGCCTGCCTCCTGGAGTTTTTCGGCTGTCACTCCCTTACTGTCTTTCAGATTACACAGGATATGCACAAGCAACTTGATCCGCTCTAAGAGCCGAAGGGTGTTAGCATCGCATCAACTATATTAACAATAAAGTCTGATCTCACCAGGCTTGAACAGGTGGTCGGGCTCTTTATGTGTCACCCCAGCCGGCCACCAGTTGGGCTTGGTTAGCTCAGGGTCCATCCTCTGTGAAGCAGAAGCCGACGTTCGTCGGCCATTATACGGATGATTGACCTGCTTGCGGGGCTCTACTAGTTTGATGAATGCTTTGGCAATCACCCTGCAGTTCAGCTGTTGGAATTTGTCAAAAGCCCTTTCGTAGTAGTGCCGAAGGGTTTCAGTGTCCCCCAGTCGAAGGATTGTTGCTCTTGTTTCTGAGCTCTGCTCATTTTCCGACGTCGAACCTAGAGCTGAAGCTGGATCGGTCTGTCTTGAACTCCTTCGGGGACGCTTGAAACGCAAGGACACCAAGTCACAGGGTATGAGTCCGGCCGGTCTTGTTGTGGTTAGATGATGGGGCCAGGAAGAGGAAGAGGAAGAGGAAGAGGAAGAGTAAGTCGCCGCCGCTTCATCTCCAGACATGTGACCTAAAGAATTGTCTGCTCGGAACACACCTCTTCATTACTGATGCGTTCCTTCTCCGACAGACGGACCTCTGACTTACTCGTATTCAGCTGCCATGCTGAGGCCACAGACCTCAGGAATCTCCCCTGCACCTCCTCTGTGAATATCTCTCTCTCTCCCCCTGCAATGGAAGGGGACCCTTCTGAGCGGAGTTGTCCACTATGGTCAATATACAGCACCGCATAATGGGAACAGCGCAAGGCAGAAGCCAGTCGTTGCATGTCCTATGCAAATCATGTCATAAGTCAGATGACACATCGTTTCTCCGGCGGTTTGGGGGGGAATCCCTTACCGTGTGGCTCGACTGAGCAGTCATATCGTGGGACGACAGCAGATGCTCACGGTCCGACCCTTTAGCTTCCATCAGCCGATTTGTTGCAACCACTTCACAGTTTGGACTTGTCATACCTTCAAGATACAAGGGTCACTGCGTCCAATGATGCCGGTTGTCTTTGTGTATAAATGGAAAGCGGCCCACTCGGATAACTTGGAAACTGTGATATTGCGCCAGCAGATACAGGTATTTCTTCGTGAACAGAAGCTCCAAGGGTAGTAAATTGAGATGTATCTTAAGCTCAATTCTCCAGGTCTTGAGCAACAGGTTATATAGGCGCGCTGCCACCATGTATCGCAGAGAAGGCGCCGACTGAAACTTCCCATCGGGGTCGACGATCGAGAGCAATACGAGGCCCGAACAAAAGTACCTGTGTCGACATTGGATTACACTTGACCCTGTCAGTGGGGTTTAACCCAGCCCGGTGGCGGTTCTGACGTGCAAAACTAATGCAAGGATAACAAATACCCACAGGCAGAGGCCAGGCACTATTGCACACAAGACTTTGTCATGCTCCGCATACTATAGCCTAACCCCGGTACGAGTATGGTGCCTGATGGATTTACCTTCTTTATTTGCCTCCAAATTTCCGGTTTTGTGTCATCCAAGATTGCATATGGCTGCCTCAGCTCCTCCCGGCGCCCAAACTAAGACTCAATCTGGTGATGTCAAATAGATGTATTCGTCCGACTGCATCATGCAGAAGCACACTATCAATATTTTGCGAGGTCGCGCCAACGGCGCATGGCACAGCGAGGTCTACCTCGGGGGCATTCTGGCGGTGGATTCGCAGCTTTGGGAAGAATGCGAGCATGCCTGGCCGCAAAACCGCAAGGACCTCCGATATGAGTACAGTCGCACAGGCAAACGGCCCTGAAGGTCCAGAACAGGATGACGAGATACGGAGCCATTATCTCTACCTAGTCCCGGTTTTCACCCGAGGCGTATGTTACGAGTACATCTACTGGTACTTCATCTCAAACTGCGATCGGCGAGTACGCTTGGCTCCAATGTTCACAATTTGAGAGAGACAAGCGTCTCGTCCAATTATCATCTGATTTGGCTATTTTTCTGATTATCTGCGACACCAATGGCGTACGCAACTGATGTCCAAAACCAAACTTCCTGCAAGAATCAGCAGCTAATTCGCTATTTCTAGCAGCGAAGATCACATGGCTTCGGAAAGTACTCGGAACCCATAATCGGAACTTGATGATAGGCTGCTGCTGTCAATTGCTGCCATCCTTGTGGCATGTTGGTGCTACGGCAAGTCACTTACTATCTCCGTACAGGAATAGTATCGCTAGAGTGACAGTTGACCGACTCTGACTTCGGCTTTCCACCAGTGGGAATAATTCCATGCTTCAGGTCACTCTGGATTAACTTCGCTGATGTTTTCGATTTAATCTCTGCCCTAGGAGCTAGCGCGCTTATTGCGGAGGTTGGGCGTAACCCACTGTACCTGGGTGTCAGAGCGAGCTCGTAGCCTGACCGCTGATCGCACTGATACTTTTTTTTCCCAGTCGCTTTCATGGATGGCTCAACAACAAGGTTTCAAACTGTAACGCAGTGTCCCTTAGTGGCGCACGGAACCGACCTCAGTTTCCCGATAGGCTTGTGCGATCTCGAGCTTGTATGTCGGTCGATCCAGATCTTACCCTCGAGACCACTCTTCAGAGTGCTCTTCGAACAGACCAAAGAGGAAACTCCAGGGCCACGAATTGAATAGCATCCAGTTGCCTTCAATTGCATTGTTTCTGGCGAACAATCGATGCAACGGCAATCGCGGATCTGGCATCCGACTATGACGATTGGCCCAAGGCATTTTCACCGATCCTGCAGTCAGAACGGTCAAGGGAGGTAGCAAACATAGAGCTCCCTTGGAAAGCTGATTGCCGATCGACTTGCATACTAACCTGCTAACCTACTGTTGCAGTAACTCAATCGGGAAAAGTCAATGAATGATGCAACAGGGAAGATAAGTTAACTACGGAGTACTCCAGTACTACTGTAAGTAAGCAAGTAACGGCCGTCTTGACTCGGGTGCGGGGAAGTTGGCAATGAATCCAACCCTTCTTCGTCGACTTCATTTCCAAGCAAACAACTCGCCACTCTCTCCTTCAGGAGCATCTGTCAATTCTATCTCATCACACTTTCTTTCTCGTCAAGGTCATGGAACGCGATTGCCCTTCTGGGAGACCTGCAGCCAGCAAAACATCCCCGTCCGTACAGAATTATGCGGGAGTGTATTCTTCCAGGAATTTCGACATAGTGGCTTGCAGAATTCGGGATCTGAGCACTCACTGCTTCACACGGGCCAAGCCAAAAAAGACCACATCTCTTCGAAAATAATGACAGTGCCATGTGTCATGATCATTCCTACCATGGCGCTGGAATGACTTGCCAAGCCGATCCATAAGCGATCAAAGTTATGCAGAAGTGACCTGTCTTTCGGTTCGTGATGGGGACTCTCTACCGGTAGCTGATCCGCTGCAGGAAGAAAAAAGTGATCAATCGAGCTGTGTGTGTGTGTTCTGGTCCACCGCGTAAGGCATCCATCCGTCCTCCGAAGTCTATCCAGCAATGCCATAGCCAGGTCTGTGGCCCCGAGAGTTTACATATCGCACCACTAATCCGGACTTAGAGTTTTCTGTACACCGATCATTTGATCTGTCGACTCCCCTTTCCACGCAACGGAGGATACGGGATAAAACTGATTATTGACTCCACACACAAGCTCACGTCCCGCTGTGGCTGGGCTTTCAGCGACGACTCACCACTGACAGGAATCATGTTATGTTTAGCTCATCCGGAATTGACTATTGAGTTCTGCCTTACTGGGATTGGGGCCAAATGCTCCGAAACTTCGGTCTGGTCATGGATCGACCAGGAACTCCACCCCATTGCCTTCTCCATGGCTCTGAAACATGATGGGCAGGCTTTTGACGTCAAAGCTCGGCCTCATTCAACGCGAAGGTCGATGATCACGATGGTAGACGTGCTTGCCTCTCCTGATCGGCTGGCAGAACGGAGTCCGTCACTCCGTACATCAGATTGAATGCTTTACGGGAGTGGGCCACGAAGTCAGGAAAACAGGTGGATGTGGTGCATCCTGAGGTAAGTTACGAGGAATACAGGGTAACTTCGTGGACATGGATCGACAGCTCCAGCTCGACAAGACGTGGCTTAGCATCGTGAGACGCGCGAGCCCCTGTTGAGAGCCCAGTATTCAATTCTCTGCAACGATGCGCACCTTTCCAGTGCTTGCTATAAGGCTGCTGCAAACACGGCAGCCTGCTTTGCCATGCTCGACAATCTGAAGAGCAACCCCCTCTTGGAAAGCCATCCATCCTGCCTTCACTATCCGAAAGTCTGACTCCTACCACGTCAAGAGAGCAGCGCTCGAATAAGGAACCTCGATGCTCACTGTTCCGTCTCTGCTAACCGAAACTGTCTCCCCCGCCGTGATGTTTGCCAAACGCACAGGCTTCCCATTGTTCAGTTCATAATTGTACGACAATCCATCCCAGGTGATCCCCGTGATAGCGTCACTACCGTTAGCTATCAGCCGCTGCACTGAGACAGTAATTCCAGCAGCAGCTGAGGGCACTTGAAAAACATAAGACGCGTTGGGTCGTTGGCTGCTGCCCGTCGTTGTCGACCCGGTGTAATTGAACTCCACCAGGTTGATGACAGCAATCCGGGCCAAGCCACCGCTCACGTACGCGGCATATGCGGCCTCGGTGTCCCGCTTCAGCGGAAGGTTGGCGATCTGGACATCGTCCTTCTCGCCGCCCTCGCCGCCGTGGAGCATAGCCGCCACCATGACGTTGCCGTAGTAGGGCGCCTTGGTGCCAATGGTGGTTCTGTTCGTGTTGACCGGCTGCCAGGAGGCGTACCGAAAGTCGCGTCCCTGGTGCATGTGGGTTCGTCGGATGTTCTGCGACGCGCAGTAGAGGTTGAAGTCGACACCCCAGAGCGCCGCGCCGAATGAATTGGAGAGCCCCGACGCGCCTTCGTTGTACAACGAATTGGTCTCCCCCAAGATATACGGGATATGCGTGGTCAGGTTTTTTTCAAGCAGGATGGTCGAGACATTGACATGCTGCGCGACGCTCTGGACCGTCATCGTATGGTTCATTAGTGTCTTCTGCAGTGTAACGCCCGGTTGCGTGGCGCCGCCAATGTAACTATGCCAAACTGTCTGTCAGTACACCGGCAGGCTCCCCACACACACTCTGAGCGAACAGCAAAACCAAACCAAAAGAGAGAGAGAGAGAGAGAGAGAGAGAGAGACGCACTTATGCTCCGAATTTAGCGCGATATTCCCCTTCCTGTCAAACCCATTCTCCCACGTCACCACGGGGTTCAAACTATTGGAGACCCCCGCAAACGACGGCGCGATATACTTGGCGTTAGCGAATTCCTCCCCGCCGGCGCACGACGCCCGCATCTTCTGCTGGATGGCCGTCGTCTTATTCACCCACTCATTCACGTAGTCCCGCTCCGTCCAGGTGGGGGGCCGCACCGCCCCCTGCGCCGAGGTCTTGTAGAGATCGGGCTCGTTGCCCAGCTCCCAGTAGGCCAGCTTGCCCCCGGCCAGCGCCTCGCACACCAGCGGCACCGTCTCCAGCAGCTGTGCGAACTGCGCCGAGGTGTTCCGGCCCAGGTTGAAGCCGTGGATGAACCGGGCTCCCGGCCAGGTCGAGTAGGATTCGAAGTACGAGGGCCCGATCGTCAGGAGCAGGGGATAGTCCGTGCTGATGCTGGGGACATAGGTGCCGTTCGTCGCGGTGGGGAGGGTCGGGTCGTAGAGGGCGAAGTCTCTTTTCTGGGTGTGAACAAGAGATATCCAAGCAGATGCAGAGGCAAAGACTTACTGCGTAATCCCTCCCACCCGAATAAAAGGCTTCACCCCCTCCAACTCGGCCAGATTATCCAACAAGTTATTTGAGAAGGTGTTCGGATGAGATCGATTTCCT